CCCCAAACCCCCAAAACCCCAAAACCCCAAAACCCCAATAAGACTTTTCAATGTTGAAGACGTAGGAAAGTATAACTGTATATTTTACTAGAAGAATAGAATATGTATAAAATTACTCCATTGCCACTACCGCCTAGTCAGGAATAAGACAAGCCCATGACTTATACAAGCCATAGACTTGTCTTATTCATGGCTTGATGATTTGGAATCTATGTAGAATTAGTAAACTAGTTTCTAATAGACTACTAAAAATTTAACCACTATTTTCTATCAATACCTCCTTTATCTGAAGTCTATAAGAATATTTTAGAAAATCTTGGTGGCTATAATATTGGCTGACCCAGCGCAGACCTGTCTTAGACTTTACTAGTATCAAAAGAATTAATTATGTAGCTTATTCAGAAGCTTGGCGATATTCTGAAAGAAATCTGGATGAAAATTTTAGCATTCACCATTCATGTTGATCTTGAGTAAGCAACAGCAACTCTCCTATTATCAGACTTTTTGTTCATATTTTAAATGCATCTCTTAACTCAGAGCCAAAGTATAGTACACAAATCGTGAGAGGGTTCATATTGCCAATAATTTTATAGTATGACACTTGAAAGCTTCATATTACAATGAGTATTCCAATAGGCAAACTTTGGGAAATTACTCCTCCAGACCCTGATCATAATAACTTTTTACCAAAGAATTTTCTAGGTGATAATAAGATGAGTCGACCTATTAAACTACCTTTCTCAACCATGTATAAAAATTTTAACTCGAAAAAATTAAATTTAAAAGTTATCAATTTTTGGTGAAGATTACCTCAGCATCTCCACAAATATTCATCTTGGTAAACTATTCGTTCCACTATTCAGAGTCTTCTGGTTTCTAAATGTACATAATATGATCCGTAAAATTCTCAGCTTAGTGTAATAGTAGACGGATTTTTAGTTCAAAATTCCTTTGAGTGTACAAGAAGATTAATCAATTTTAAAGGTAAAAAGCCTTCTAGAAATGCACTCAAGCCTATCTATGAAGAAAGTGTTTGGTTTGTAGTTTTATATCATAATTAATTAGGTTAATGAACAGAGGCTTACTGAGAGCCATATGTTCACTAATATATCATATTGTACTATAGCCTTTGCACGCAAAGTTATTTAGTTTCCTTGAGAAGAACTTCCATCACTGATGGCAGGAATATCTGAGGTACTGTCGAATAGTTCTTCATCTGAGGACTCTTCTCCTGATGAAAAGAAGAAAGGAGTATACTTTACTGAGTCTTCTTTTGGTAAGAATGATTTTGACGAATTATATTTGAAACAAGTGTTCCTTGGCTTCAGAACTGGAGCTTTAGGGCATCTTGAGTACTGAGAAGACTCTTGGTCATCCATAATAGGCTTTGAAATTTCAGGAACACTGTTAGAGCTCCTCTGATTAGCCATTTGTGATTTCTCTTCAAAGAAAAAGTTCATGTTTAGTATTTTTAATAAATTTATTATATGATTTGATCTTCTTTCAGTTATATATTCTTCTAGTGGGGTTTTGGGGTTTTGGGGTTTTGGGGTTTTGGGG